CTAAATTTAGCTGAGAGTTCGGTCATCATTACTACCACCTTTACAAGGCTGCCAGCCACGGCAGAAATTCAAGAGGCGAAATGTGACGACTTGCCTCTGCAAGAACCTGAAAATCGACCCATGATGTCACTACTCTTTAGTTTTGCTCCAGATACTTGTATTAAAATCGAATTCCGGATGCAGCCTTCGACGAACTTAGTGGAACAGCAAAACATAACTCTACCGCAAGAAGTTTCATGTATCATATGTCCAAATGAACTTCCAATTCAAACCGATGTTACCATAGACACTCGGTCATCACCGTTGGTCTACTCGTGTATAGAGCAACCCGGTATGGCGATTCAAGTATTCGTACCATTCCCTGGTCAGCTAGAAATCGCAGTGACCCAAAGATGCATTCGGTTTTCGACAGTGAGTCCACAATCGCAAGAGCTGACGTGTATTTTGCCATCTGGACTAAACGTTTGCATGGCCCCGATTTGTCATCCCGGTCAACCAGGATTTTGCATCACAATCAGTGCGGCACCGATTGCTTCACCGGAACCACCACAACCAATTTCACAAGATGAGGGTTCGTCACTGTGTGCGATCCTGCGATGCAAATCAAAATCACGGGTTAAAGCGACTCAGGCTCAGGTCGAACAGGGTCCAGTAACTCGTCGACGCTCGAATTCGNCGAATTCGCAGCCGTCCAACCGCACGCATCGACCTTTGTGCTTTGGTGGTTCACAGCCCACTGCAAAACACACAGATAACCAAACTGCACATATTTCCAGTGCTGGTTCAGTTACCGAGCCATGCTTGCAACGTTTTAAATCTCGTCTGAATCAGGCCAAATCAAAATATAATACGATCAGAGCAAAACTGAGAAAACGACCGGTAGAACAGCAGAGAGGCTCAAAGTATCGGTTAGAAACAGTAGAAGATAAAATTTCCAGATCGGAAAGTCGCTCTCAGTCATACGATTCATCGCCAAAGAGGGTACATGAGTGTAGGGATTCTGCCATTTGTGTTCCTTACATACGTTTCGGACGGTCCTCGGAAACGAAATCCCCCGTCACGCCCAGTGGGCCTCACGATCAGCCTTTACGAATGACCAAATCAGAACAGCACTGTGTTTCAACTGGAGAACCACAAGTTGTTCAGAGTGGTGAAAGACCTTCACGTCGTTGCTTCTGTAAACGCAGTCTAAGCCAACGCAAATCACGAAGTTTGTCCGAAAGTAGCACACAGCATTGCGTTCCGTTAACATTTAAAGGCGAGCAACTATCTCGTGAGCCTTCTGGTCAGGATTTGTCAAATAAGGGAATACCGAAACTCCCAAGAGATTCAATCAATACCTGGGGTACGACAGCTACTATGGCAGCGCTTACCAGACATAGTCTCCTGGATCGGACGACCACAATCTCAGAAGGAGAGAGTCTAGCTGCTCAAGCTTCTGGGATGACTTCACGAAGGAAAGTATTATCGATGAAGTCGGATTTACCGCAACTGTATGAATCTTCCGAACTAAAACCTATTCCCAGCTGTTGCACAGACGCTACTATGGCTAATGTATGCCTTTGCAAACAAACAGTTGATCTACAAGAAAACGTGCGCCAGTCATACCTTATGGCACAAATGCCTGAAATATGTCATTTAAAGATTCGATGTGAAATTCCACCGGGTTATGCACTCCTGGAACCTGGCCTAATGGTTTCAGGTAACTCCCCATCACAGATTAAAAACAAAAGCACTGATCCAATCTACTTCCAAGTGAAATTTGATTTTGGTACCAATGGACCCGATAACGGGTCGAGAAATCTATTCATCAGTACTAATCTTTCTCAGGGCAGAATATCACAAACTGATGGAATGTCCGGGTATGCAGTGGTTTCAACTGTGTTTCCTGCTCCCGAACAAACTCAACTAGTCTATGAGGACGCTGAACAGAAAATTGAGAGACAATTAGTGGTTCAAAATTATGATTCCTCAAGGATCACATTACAGTCAACAGGAATTAAAGTGGATCTTACTCCACGGTCGGGTCAATCCATCGCGGTGCATTTTGGAGCCGATTCTGATCCCGAGTGTTATATAGCCACTACTGTGACTGATTCAAACAGTATTATGTTACGCCTATGTAAACCAACAACTGTGTCTGGAATGAGTTCACTTGGTTTTGGCATTGGCATGAAACCGGTTTCATCTCCGGTTAGTGAGCATGATGCTATCGGCATTCTCGGTGAACAAAACCGACAGACAGAGGAATCTGTGCGACCACCAGAGGATCATGCTCTTTACACTCAGCATTTAGACTTCCCCGGGGGATCTATATGTGTACAAACTAATTTAGATACACGTTTCCAGTCAGAACCAACTTATGTGAACGAGTCCAGTATGAACGAAATAGAAGACAAAGTGGAAAAAATTGGATCTTCTGAATTACTGGATCAACAGAAATCGGTGGCAGTTGATAACATGAATACACCGCAGTCCGTGCATGAAGAGAGCAGTATTCAGCTTCAGACAAGTCTGAAACAAAAGGATGACCAGGATAATCAAGACCAACACTACGTTACAAATGACCAATCAACAGTAGTCACCAAGGGTGAGTTGTTTATGGGTGATGCCCGACGTAGCTGTATGCATTCATCCGTCATGATTCATCCAGTCAGACCGGAACTGGAGCTCTCAGCTGTCACAATTCCAATCCGTTGCGTCAATCCTGGGATAGTGGGCAATGCCAGTTTTATCAGTCGATTTCCCTCTAGGACTTGTGTGATACAGAACACTGCCACATTCGTTCCTCAAATCCCGTCCACCCCGTGGACATACAGCCTCCCACCTTTATTTGATCCTATGCACTCGACCGTGAGCTGTGCATGTAATTCACGATGTCACAGAACACGATACCAGCAGATGTTAACAAATTTGCCCGGAAACTTTAATAAAATTACTGTCCATTTTAATGAAAACTACGTAATTCGTCCGGTCGTGATGCAACCAATGATTCCTATGCGTCAAACACTAGGTCCGTGTAGATGCAGACGATTCAGTTCCGCACAGAGGTCAACCAATTTTGACAGTGTGAATGACAGACAATCATGGATTCGATCTCAGTCATGCAGTCCTACTTTACCGGGGATAACACTGTATGAGACACAAAATGCGTGCATGTTAACGCACAGTTCACCACCACTAGATACCGAAGACCAACCGATGCAGGTCCGGACCGGATGTCAAGGTGCAAGGGGCACACGTTCATCGCTGACTATCAATACTTTGGATAATTTCAAACCCACTGATTGTCAAAATAGTCACGCGACCACCTCCGAAGAGAGGTGCACGATTGTTCGAGCCCCAGGATGCAATCGTGAACCGCGGAGAACTAAACGTTACAAAGAACCGTCCACAATCACAGGTTTGGTTTCCTGCCCGAATAGATTTCCGTGGAAACCAATACGGACACAGAACTGGACGTATCTGCAGCAAAAATATGCACAGCAAATGACATCTTATTTAAAACAGACTTCGGATCGAAGACAGCAAACACAAACGACACATGTAACTGTGGTTACAATTACTTTTTCCCTTATTCAGCCATTGAACACCTGTTACGAGGAAACAGTTGAACATTTATGGGATAGCGCCGTGGTTTGTTTGCATCTGGATATACTTCCGATCGCCTTGAAGGTAATTTATGGGATTCCGACAAAATGTAACACAGTTCATCGCATGCTTCCACGCTGCTTGACTCAAAGCAATTTAGTAGTCGATTCGTGCACACAGACATTGGTCTCCTGGATTTGCAATGAGCAGTCTGTCGAATCGGTGAACTCAAAAGTAGATTACTTACATTTGAATCTACCAGATACCATAATGGAGAGCAAACCGCTTACCCAATCTGAGCTCAATCAGGATCAGAGTGGTTTGCGCACGAAAAGTTACGTTTGTCTGACCGAGATAGAGAATGCGGCGAAAGTAATCCCATTACCTACCACCATACTGTGCACGGGAATTGAACTAAATACAAACCCGTACGTGACTAATCCGTCGCCTGTTTGCAGTCCCGATCTGGATGAATTTTCGCACCAGTTCAGCCCATCCATATCAATCGATCTAGCCTCCTCATCGCGTTCTAATCCCCGTTTATGTCGATGTGATTGTTCTTCATGTACCGTTTGTGATAACTCTGCAGAGCCCAATCTATTTACTCGTGAACTGGAANACCAGGCTGTCACCGAAGGAAAGATCCCAGAGAAGAAACGGAAACTGGAAGAACAAGTTGCCATCATTGATGGAACAGTGACGAAAGAGGGTTCACAGGTGGCCAGTCTAAGTGATCAACCATGTTTGCGTTTGGGAGTAGAGACAGAAAAAGTGCGAATATCTGTTTCCAGTCAGACAGACGATATCTTGGCTTTGACTGATATTAATAAAGCAAAGAGTTCTTGCGTTTACCATGTTCCATCCATACCGACCTGTTGTTTGGATTCCGAGCTGAGCGTGTACTCCAATAGTTTACCGGTTATTCCTAGTCCAGTTGGTACAGTGGACTATCTGCGACATTTTCTCAAGTCTCGATCTATGTACGATTCCAGGGAACAATCGCATTTACCAAGACCCGGTTCTGATGCAATGAGTAAACCAATAGCGACCAAATTAGCACCTGTGCCCACTATTACACCAGAGAATGTGAGACAAATAAATTGGATGAAAAAATATTTTGAACAGCGTAATGTTCAGATACATCATAGCCAAAAGACAGCGAGTCAAGTGAAACAGGCAGTTACAAGCAGTCATTGGGAGTCAACAGTGAATGGCCATACAAAGAAGAGCAGTGAGGAATCGCCTAACGCTGTGCGAATAAATCAAGATGACCGGAATCCCGGACAAGTTAAGCAATCGCAAATAAAAAGAGGTACTTCTGACAGTAATCGTCTGAAAAGTGAACCAATGTGTATGAGACGCATACCACTATTTCAACGTATTGGGGCTCGTATCAGTTCACATCTCAAGCCAATGACCAAAATGCCCACGGAAAATCCTCCAGAACCGATTTCCGAATCGAAGAAATGCAACTGTTGCCTCTGTGTTCGCATGGCCTGGTTAGAAACGCAAAGCAAGTCTGGACTTTCTCGATCTATATCACGATCACGAAGAAACTCGTACGACAAGAGCAAGATACGAAGATACTATGCGTCCACATCAAGGAATATTATGCGTTTACCTGTACAAACTCCATGTCAAAGCATCGCAAATGCAATCGCTATGGCTTCGGTTTTACATCCTCAAAGTGGTTCCAGTATTCCAACAGCGATTCAACAAAATGGCGGTAAGCAAAAAAGTTCAAATATCTTTAGGAGTGGAGGTCAGACAAGCAATCGTTTGATCACCTTGGACACAGATCGCTCAGCTATTGGTAAACGAATTCTCAGAACCAAAATTGACCCGAAAACTGATCTGACACATCGGAAAACATATCCCCCATTCCGATTTTAAGGGCTTACGTCAGTTTCCGAGATGTATCAGTCAGAAAGCGGGGAGCGAGCAGAGGTCCCATGATCCTTTGACAACATGACGACTATCAGAAAAGGAAAACCTCTCCTTTTTGGGAACATATACTAAGCTCAGTTTTACAGAAATTCTTCAAATGAACGAATACTTTGCCCTCTTTCAGCTGTCATAAACGCGAACAAACACGAACATGCGAAAAAGAATTCCCTTTGGGATGGAAAAAGGAATTTGGTTTTCTTATAATTTTTGAAACCAAGTGTCACCTTGAGAATTTCTTTTCCATGGTGCTCTTCTGTTCCCTTTCTGTTATTTTATACAGCACATCCGCATTAATCAGAATCATCTAGTAGCATGCTAATGCACGCCATCACATGTATGCCCAGAGAAACACACAGAAACCAGCTGCGGATGCTTCCGATTTCAGCAATTTCTGTCGAAAATCTGCCTTGTTTTCGGTGCCACATAACCGTTCTGTACAAACGATATCTTACATATTTTTCTTCCCTGTTCTGACCAGATTATATTATGGTGTCGGGTGTGCTCTGGTAAAAGAAATTGGTTCAGACGGTGGGAACAAATCTACAAGTAATTTTATTTGCTCAAATCGTGTTGGTCAATCCAGCTGGAATAGTGACATCGGGTACTTCTTCAAATGACTCGTGAGATTGCACTGAATTGATCAGCTTCATCAGATACAAACTACCGTGCTTCTCAGTTTGGCGAGTCAAACTTTCTTGGGTTAGATATGAATATCATTCGGAGTTCATCGAGGAATCGGAACTTGTTCCTGTAAGGCAAATAACGGCACCATGAATACTGCATAATGTGCGTTTGAGCAAAAGTTGCGAATAAGCTTTCATCAGCACAGAGCGATGAATTCAACCTATCACTCAAGGGTAGGCCAAAATAGCCCTAGAAATGTTATTTATGTTTGATCCTTAGCGTGCGATAGTACTAATCACCCTCACTTTGACCGTAACAGTGAAAAAGAAAGAGAGCGTGGGGTCAGTGGACTAGTTGAACTCGCCGCCTTTTAACGTGCCTTGGGATAGAATTTTTGGAGCTATAAATATCGTGAATTAGTAATGGGTTTCAAAGTTGTATTGCCTACCCGGCATATGATTGATTGCAAATGAGGAAATGGGAGTGGTTATCAAGGTCCATAAACTCACTGGAGTACTCCAAGGACTATTAGGGGCATTTGTGATGCTCTAATATCATTTGCTAAATATCTTGCGATCTCAGAAGAGACTCACCTTCTTATTCAGTTCACTACCATTCGTACATGAACTCCCCAACAGCCATCTTCATTCCCTTCTTGACTTGCGTCATCCACCCCCCCCACCTTATCAGAGTGTTATA